GTTTTCTTAGGTGTGTCTATGAGAAAGAAACTTCCTTTCAAAAGAGCCATTATAATGGGAAGGTCAACAGAAAAAGTGTAATTTTAAAAAATCTTTTCATTCTATCCTTTTCAAATGTAGTTGTAAAAGAGAAAAATCTAAACATAATTTTAAAAAATATTAGCTTATGAATAAAAAAGGTGGGTGGTGCATTCTGATGCATAACAACCATAATTTTAGTAGTGAAAATTTGTACACATTCATAGAATTGGCTATTAAAATAATTACCAACTGGGATACCTATTCATTCAGGCTATAGCCTGTGGCTGTAGATGATCATTTTCACTGCTATATTGTATTTTGTTGTATAAATACTAGTAGTAGGACATTTAGATGGTTTCCTGTTAAGGATCTTTTATGAACATTGATACTATAAAAGTTCCTTCAGATATTTTAGTATATATAAGCATACATTTCTAATAGGCATAAACATAAAAATGGAACTGCTGGAATATGCTTATGACTGGATGTCCAACTTTATATAAAATGCCAAATTGTTCTATAAAATAGTGGTACTATTTTATATTTCCATGGCTGTGTATGAGACATCCTGTTTCCCTATATCCTTATAAAACTTATTGCTTTTTTTTCTAAATGTTTATAATTCTAGTCATATCCCATTGTGCTTTAATTTTCATTTCCCTGTTGGGTAATGCTGGGCATACTTTCATATATTTATTTGCCATTTGGAAAGCTTTTCTGCAAAGTACCTAGTTAAGCTGCTTGTCTATGTTTCTGGTTTTTTTTTTTTGTTTGTTTGTTTCATTTTGTTTTGTATTAGGTTCTACCTTTTTCGTATTGATCTACAGAAGCACTTCATGTACTCTAGCTACAGGTCCTTTGTTGGTTTGCTTATGTCCTTGACATAGTAAATTTACTTTGTGAAAATTCATTTTGTTTGTATATCAAAGATCAGAAATGACCGAAGTATTCCATCAGGGAATTTTAATGACATCATGCTATATCCATCCACTAAATGAAAATATTAGCTAAAGTTTTTTAAGACTATAGTAACTTACAATTATAACTATGCAATGAGATAATGTTAAGTAGAAGAAGAATACATACATGTCCATTAGGACTATAACTGTGGGGGAAAAAAAAGGCTGGGTGAAAATATCCAACAACAGTGCCAATCCTTGATATGATTACTAAGATGAAAACATGATGGGAATTTCAAATATTTTTTCAATTGTGAAAAATATTTCTATAAAGAGATATTGTTCTTATTCTTAAAGAATCCATATCTGAATAATAATAATGGCATACTAAACACTAGAATAAAAGTTATTTTAAAGTCAATGATACTATATGCAGCACAAATGAAGCTGTCATATACCTATAACAAACTGAATTATTTATAAATGTAGAATTCAAGCAAATTTTCCCCCCTTTTTAGTACTCTGGACTGAACCCAGAGATGCTCAACCACTGAGCCTCATCCCTAGCCCTTTTTATTTTGAGACAGAGTCTCACTAAGTTGTTGAGGCTGGTTTGAACTTGTGATCCTCTTGCCTCAGGTTCCACGTTGCTGGAATTACAAGCATATGCCACCATACACAACCATATTTTTTCCAAAGAGGCATATTAAACTGAATTTTTATGTTTTTTTTAATTTAATTATCCGTACCATATTACTCAAGAGGCCAAGATATCAATATTTATAACATTAAAAACAAACTCATTTCTTAAACATTTTAATTTTTTTAAGGAAAAAAATCATTTTCTAGGTAATATCTCCATAAAATAGTATCTGAACCTATATAAATATTTCATTTCATTTATTTACTTTTTTTTTTTTTACAGTGCTGGGGAATGAATTTAGGACCCTGCACATGCTACATAAGGGCTCAACCATCGGGTTACAATCCAATCCTAAGAAATTATTACCTGTTGGCTTTTATTAACTTCATTTTCATAAGTGGAATGTTCTTCAAGAATCACTCTGCAGTGGTTTATTAAACTTGTTGTCTGTGAGGTTGACAATGGATCCCAAATGCATTCTACAAAGTCTGAAACAAAGATTTTTAGTGGTGTGCAATTTATTTACTAGATTATTTTATATCTCATGTACAAATAACCAAGGCCTTTAGCACAGACGATTTTCCTCCTTATTTAAGTTAAAATCTATGGCCAGTCATTGCCATTATATTTGCATACACCCTCAATTCTTTGTCCTCCTTGTGCTTTGCTGAAATCATCTGGTTAAACCACAACCCTAATTAAATCCACTTGTCTCTGAGTCTGTGTTTGCTATAATTCAGCTAAGATATGCCTGGGGAAAAAGAAATCACATTAAGTTGATCACCATAAAACTCCAATGAGTCCTTAATGGTGGTCAGCAATCACACTTTCTGACCCATTACTTTCCCCTTTGCCTAGATGATTATTTCATACCTTCTGTTACTCTTTTCTCAGCTACTTACTTTACTTCTTGATTTGAGTAAAAAAAAAAAAGGCAATCAGAAGAGAAGCTCCGTGATCTACTATGGCATTCATACATCTACCTACACTTCTGCCTGTATGTCTCCGATTCTTATGGATGAAGCACCCACACTCCCAGTTATGGCCAATCCTTTACTTATACATGAGATCCCAACTACTTGGGTTTTCTCAAAGATACTGTTCCTGAAATTCTGCCTTTACACTTTGGTATTGTTATCACTTCTACTGGGTTTTTCTCATTAGAAGCAGTCATTTCTGTTGTGTTAAAAATAATACCGGTCTTGAGCTAGGTATGGTGTCTGTCACATGCCTGTAATTCCAGCGACTGGGAGGCTAAGGCAGGAAGATCATAAAATTTGAGGCCAGCTTAGGCAACTTAGTGAGATCCTCTCTCAAAAACTACAAAGGGCTGGGAATGTGGCTCAGTGGTAGAGCACTTCTGGATTTAATCCCCACTACCAGGAAAAAAAAAAGTCCCCTCTTAATTCTATTATTCCCCACCCATGCCCAAGTACTACTTCATTTCTCCCTTTCCTTTTAAGACAAAATACCTCAAACTACTGTCTAAGTTTCTATCTCCAATTTTTCTCTTCCATTTTGTTCTTGAATTCCTTCTGCTTACATCTTACCTCCCATCATTCTACCTAAACTGCTTTTATCAAATCACAAGGGATATTCACATAGTAAACTCCAGTGGCTAATTCTAATCCTTACTTGACTCTCAACAATTAAAACAATTCATCATTTTTTTTCTTCTTCCTAGAAACCCTTCCAATTGGCTTCTGGGACACCACTTACCTGGTTTCCTACCTACTTCTTTGGCCTTTGTTGTCTGCTCCATACATGACTTCTAAATGCCAGAAAACCTTAGGACTCAGGTCACTTCTCTTTTCTTTCCTATTTATATTAATTCCTTAATATTTAGTTATTTTATGGCTTAACTGTAATCAATATGTACATAAATTTCAAATTTCTATCTGACTGGATTGCCCCTTTATAACTCATACATTCAACAATGTAATTGACACTCTTATTTAGATGTCAGGCAACCCAAACTCAATATGTTTAATATACCTTCCTACCTAGATGTACCTGTCAGTCATCTCCACTTCAAGAAATAACAATGCTCTTCTTCCAATAATCATGGAATTACCCCTAATTCCTATCATTATCTCTGCTCCATAACCAAAGCATTAGAAAAATCTGTTAGTACCACCTTTGAAATATATACAGAATGCAATCACCCCAGGAACCCAGGTGGTTTTCATTTTTTATAAAGTGACTTATTTATGGAATTGTTTAATCATAAGAATTTGATTTTTTCAGGAGAATACTTGGATGAAAAAAAATCTGCTGTATGTATAAACATGACTGTACGACCAATGTGATTCAGCAACCTGTACACTCAGAAAAAGCAATAATTATACCCCATTTGATTCAAATGTATGATATGTCAAGATCACTGTACTGTCATGTGTAACTAATTAAAAAAAAAAAGAAAAAAAATTAATGGAGTCTGCTGAGAAACTATATAAAGGCAATGGCTTAAATTTTTTAATTGTTTTTATTATTTTTTTTAAATACACGACAACAGTGGAATGCATTTCTATCCTTATTACACATACAGAGCACAATTTTTCGTATCTGTACATAAAGTATGTTCACGTCAATTTTTTAAAAACAGAGTTTTGTAATCTTTTCTATCAAAATTGATTCTGTGACATGGTGAAACAGATCCTTATCAAGTACAATTTTAGGTAAAACAAGTGTCTTCAGACTGAAGTCTGAATAATAGGCATTAATCCTAAGTGCTCATAGTTGCAAGTGGCAGATACACAGAAAATATAGTAATTTTCTTTTAATGAAAGGGAAAAGAAAGAGAAAAATCATAAAAGGAGAAGTTAAGAGAAAGAAAGAGATGTGAAGGATGTATGAAAGCATTCTCCTAACAAATGAATTAGGTGTCACAAAAGTAGCAGTAATGTCACAAAGCTGAATGATCAGAGTTGTAGAAGTTTGGTAGCCAACCATTTGCCCACGCAAGCATTTTTTTTTTTTTAAATATTGTTTAGTTGTAGATGGACAAAGTATCTTTATTTATTTATTTTTATGTGGTGCTGAGGATCAAACTTAGTTCCTCATGTGTGCTAGGCGAGCGCTCTACTACTAAGCCACAATCCCAGCCCCCCTACAAGCATTTTTAAAACAGTTTAAACTTGACATTGATTGATCTTTTTTTTTTTTTAAATATTTATCTTTTAGTTGTAGTTGGACACAATGCCTTTATTTCATTTATTTATTTTTATGTGGTGCTGAGGATCCAACCCAGGGCCTCGCACGTGCTAATGGGCAAGCGCTCTGCCACTGAGCCACAATCCCAGCCCCTGTTGATATTTACTGCATATAACTTTTCCTTTTGTTACAAAACTTCTGAAAAAAATATAATTGAAGAGAATGATTTTATACTGTCAAAAAGCAAATTAATGTTAGTAAGATTAAAAGGGAGTACCTGTAAGTCGAGGAATAACTGTCTTGTTGATGACTGAAGACAAAATTTTTTTATCAAAACTAGTGTCTCTCTTTGCATCTTCCACACTGTTATCCATAAATTCTTCTATACACGTGAACCATGGCATTTGTTTTAACCCTATGGAATCCAACTTAAAAATGGAATTATAAAAGTTATAAATAAATACTTACACAATAGAGTATTTTAAAACAGTTAACTTTTCCAGTAATCATCAGAATTTTTTCTAAGGATCAAGAAGAAAATATTTTCACATTTTAACACCGTGTATGTAGCATTAGACCACCACTTGGCAGATGTCATGGGTAAGACATAATGTCTACGCAATGTAACAAAAAGCTGCATTGCATGCATTCATTCATTCAGCAAAAAATCAGCAAATGCACATTGAGCGTCAGGACCTTCAGAGCTTACCCTATGGCAAGTGCTCTTGCAGGAGCAAAATACATTTGAAATAACCATGAAATTTGCTTATAAAAATTCAGCTATCTCAAAATTTGCTTCTGGTCTTTTTTAAATTTCATAAACATAAATATGCGATTTGCAAGTGCTTTTAGCTTATTAGAAAATAACATATGACCAGTTATTATTTGTTGAATGCATTAATGAAATGATCTCTGCTAGGCACATAAGTACCCAATTTAGTTTGCATGGTTAACAAATTAGGCTGCTACCCAACTGACTACCTAGCACTTTCTTTTTTTTGTTTTGTTTTGGGTACCAGGGATTGCACTCAAGGGCATTCAATCATTGAGCCACATCCCCAACCCCTTTTTGTATTTTATTTAGAGATAGGGTTTCATTGAATTGCTTAGTGTGCCTCACTATTGCTGAACTTTGAAGCTGGCTTTGAATTCACGATCCTCCTGCTTCAGCCTCCTGAACCACTGGGATTACAAGTATGTGCCACAGTGCCTGTCTACCTAGCACTTTCTTAGAAATAAACTTGGTTCTAGAACCATGAAGATTATGTGGTTCTGAACCTAACCTGGAGTCTACAGGCATCATGACTAAGAAAAAGAGTAGTGTGTGTGGCCTTAGGTTCAGTCCCCAGCATGGTGGTGGCAGGTAGAGACAGGCAAAGAGAAGAAATCATTTATTTTGTTAAATCTTTATCCTCAACTTCCCTCTCTTCTAGATTCATTTTCTCATTTCTGTTTGCTGAGTAGGCATGTTCCCAAGGATGTCCCCTATTGTTTCATCATCTATGAAGAAAAAAAAAAAAAACTTCCTATAAAATCCTCTTCATTCTTTCTGAAAAGTCCCTACTACTATGCATGAAATGACTATTCTTCAAATACTCCAGGATCCAACACCTTGGGGGTTATCTTTAATGTAGAGGGTTAGGGTTATTCTCTACATTTCACTACTTCTTAATTTATAACTCCTCTTATAATCAATTCTTTCCTTCTCTTCCCTTTGCCACTATCATGGAATCTGTCACATTGAATTTGGGCTATAAGAATGGCTTTCCATTTCTTATTTTACTTTCATTCAAGTTAGATAACTAACAGGGCTCCTTAAAACATTACTTTCAATCTGTTACTCCTTCAATTACTTACCAAAATAAATTCTTATCTGTCAATTTCAGTGTAAACTCCAGCTCCTGAAATAATAGTTCTCCCTTTATATCTTTAATCTCTTATTGTTGAAATCCTTTCCCTCCTCCATGCAGGCCTCCTACCATCTCTTTCCAATACGTTATCTCCAGCTTCAGAGCCCTTGGAACAAGACTTTTATGTTGGATTTCCCCAAACCTATACCACCTTATACTTTTTGGAAGGATTTCAAATAATATATAAAAATTTAGTAATGCTAAGACTGAAAAATTGAGTCACAGCCAAGTAAAGAAGAATGTAGCGTAAAGTACACATTTCCAGACTATTGTTCCAAAGCTCTGAATTTCAGCTCCAACTCTTAGGGTAAGGTGTTTTATAGCTAACCTGATAGCAAAAGAATTTAAGAAATTATTGTGATCAGGATAATCACATGTTAAGCGTAAATACCTTAAGAGGATTCCAATCAAGCAACTGGACTCGTATTAGGGGATTTAAAAGTTTTGGTATGCATAAGCCAATAAAAGCATCATAATAGGAATCAGGAAACTTTTCTCGCCATTGCTGAAATTTCAATAAAATATTCTGGATGTTACAAAAATCATCATGCACATCTTCAAAAACTTTCTTATGATCCTGTAAAATGTCACCTGTAAAAAAAAAAACCTCTTTAAGTTATGCATTTTAAGTTTTGCTTTCCTTATAAACATAGTCATATGTGACTATGTAATCAATTGAGTTAAACACTTTCCTTTGATATTAATATATAATTTTCATAAAAACTCATGTTAGTAACAAAAGTGATAATATCAATACTAAGAGCAGCTACCATTTAATGAGCCCCTGCTTTTTGCTAAAATACTACATATACATTATCTCATCACCAAGATGGATATAATACTCATTTATAGAAAACAAACAATATCATATATTTAGGAGGTCAATGAATTTGCCCATGATCACACAGAATAAAGCCTTTCTTTGAACTTAAGTCAACTGACTCTAAAGCCCAGACTCTTTTAACCATACACACTGAACCTTCTCATGATGTCAATAATGGTTTCACTAAATTCAATTGCTTTAAAGTAAAAATAATTAGCACTGGAAGTAGGAGGTAAATAAATGAAACTAAAATATTCATTTGTAACAAAAGAAGGGGAAAAAACTGAGGGGACAAAACTATATAGATGCAAGAATATTCACAATGTTCCTTAGCCATTATTTTCTATTTTTCCAGAGAGTGGAAAAGTCTTAAAGGACAAAATCATTTTTCCTTTTTCTTGAAATTTCCCAAATGTTTTATATAACTTATGTATTTAAAGGCAATCATAGCAAAGCATTTCATCTTTGGAAACATGGTAATTGACCTTGGCTTTTTTGGAAGTTGGTCATCTCTGCAGAAGACAGTTCATCATCACTAGATGTCCCTTCCTGATGGTTATGGTTACCAGAAAGTGCTCTTGCTTGTCTTCTTTGTATCCTATAATTTGTAATTGAAATGAATCACAAATAAATGGAAAGCAAATAGTTCTTGCCAAAATAAATTCTTTAAAACAAAAAGTAGCAGTAATTTTATAATTTATACATAATGGCCAGAAACACACCATAATATTAGGATACAATTTTATGTTACTATTTTTTAAACTTTCAACTTCATAAGTTTGTGATGGTGGTTCTTCCTCTTTTTTCTTATAAGAATTTCCTGGCAAAAACATCCCTGTGGGTTAACCAGTTACTGAAGAAGGGGTAACAATAAAATTAGAACCTGCTTCTAGTTAAGAATAATTCCCAGCTTGATATATGTCAATTTTTTCCCCCTTCCTTTCAACAGATTCAAATATATCTTTAAAGCAGCTGAGAACTGCTTACTAAATTTTGGTCTTATATTATTTTCACAAATTAACATGTCAGATTAGGTTTAATTATATCATACAGTTAATTCTATTTAAATAGTGAAAAGTACTTGCTCACTGATGCTTTAAGTCTTCACTTTCTATAGGTACCTTCGAGATTCAATATCTTCTAAAATGCACTGAGATTTTTCATCTATAGCCAAACTTCCATTTGTTGATGTCTCAGCTTTGCCTGTTAATGAATAAAATTCATTTTGTACTGCAAATTTTCAAAAGAAAAACGAAACACCTTGAAAAACAAAGGTAATATACATACATGTACATATAAACACACAAAATATGCTTACATTGTTCAATGAAATATTCACGTTAATTCCCTCTCACAATGTTACTAGGTCTCAAGTTTCTTAGCCTAAAAAAAGTACCTTGATTGGTAGTTTAGTACTTGATAATAACAAGATAATTTTATTTCCATGTTTCTTTTCCTCATATTCTTTTTCAATAATTTTTACTGATTTTCTCTACAGCCAAATACTAGAAATATTTGCATTGCCAACACCTTATTCATATTGTTATCTATTTTAGTATAGATCATTATTTATGACTGAGAAATGCGATTTAATCTCTTTTACTATCCCCTGATAGCACTTCAATGAGAGGAAGACATCTCTGAAAATACAAAACCAGTGTAAGAACTAACATGAAGTATACAAATTTCATATAGTGAAATCTTACAGATGAACCTATACTAAAATTCACCATAACAAGTTGGTTGAAGAGTCCTTAAAACTACAAAGTTAGATCTCTAACAGTCTGTATATTTATACAAACTCATCTTAAAACATTTCATTAAATGGCCATATAAATATTTTGCTTAAAAATACTAAGGGATTAGAAGTTATAATATTTGTTTTTTAACGCTAGATTTAATTTATTTTGAAACTCTACCTATAATGTTTTGTTTTTGAAAGGGAACAGAGGAAAGATTAGTGAGAAAATACACAAAAAGCTTACTTTCTTTTTAAAGTAAGAATAAAACCATTTTTATTCTCCAATGATAATATGTATCTTCATGAATAATAAACCGTATTAAACATAAAAAACACTAACGTGATAACTGTTGTAAGTACGCTGATTCATGTTTTAATTCATCTTGCCTGCGCTTCATCAAGGTCATGGCTTGTTTTAAAAGAAGTGCATGCATGGATGATTCTATTTCTTGGATGTTGATCATCTGAAATACATATACAAGTAACATCTACAGGTCACTGATAATCAGTTTTAAAAGTATAAATAAGTAATATTTAGAAAATATATAAACATTATGTGTTCAATTTTCATATGAAGAGACATTTCTAATACTATTGCATCTTAATTATAAAACATTGTGAGCAAAAGACCTAGCTGCAAATACTTTTAATATCAAAAACCAGAAAATCACCTTTTTCTACTAGAACAAGTATAAAAAGATAATGAAACCAAATGAGATAGAGTGAGGAACATAGATGTTTATGATAAAAACATAAGAGATAGAAAAGCAGGAGGAAATGAGGGGTGCAGCTGTTTTTCCTCAGGCTGAGGAGAAGATAGTAGGGGCACTTGAAGCTGGTGAAATCTGAAGAACTGGAGAATGAGAAAGAGAACTAACCAGGGATGAGTATGAAAGCTGTGATGCAGAAACACAGGCTAGTTGAATTTGGAACTTCTATTTCTTGGGCAATAGTTGCTTTTTTATTCCAGTGATGTTCCACAGCTGCTACTATGGATAGATCGATCAATGGGTGGACTGGTAAGATTTTAAATGTGTAATTTTTCAAGGATGAATGAAGAAAAAAATTACATTTTAATTGATACATTAGAATGCAACTACCATATGGTATAGAAAGGCAATCAACTTAAAACAACAGAGGACAAAGCATTTAATTGACAACATTTTAATGATTTAAGTAATATGGAAAGTAGAACGTGATTTATTTTTAAATAACCTACCTTTTTAAGGATAATTGAAGATCCCAGTGTAAGAACTTATTGTGCATAAAACAAAGCCAAAAAGTAAAAGCTGAAAGATTTATAAATCTGATCATATAAAAATTTCAAAACTTATGAATATATCCAGGCATGGTAGGATGTGCCTGTGATCTTAGTGATTTGGGAGGCTGAGCAAGAGGATGGCAAGTTTGAGGTCAGCCTCAGTGACTTAGTAAGACCCTATCTCAAAATAAAAACTAAGAAAAGGGTGGATGTGGATCAGTGGTAAAGGACCCATAGGTACAATCCTAGGTTACCTCTACCCTGCCCCCTACCCTCAACACACAAGAGGAATTGTTCAACCTAAGAAAACTAAAAGGAAATAAAAAGAAAAGAAAAAAAAATTCCCATTAAGGACCAACATAATAACAAGGTAGAGATAATCTGCAAGAAGAAAAACTACATATAGCTGATAAAATAAAGGGTTTGAGATCAGAATATAATATAGAAGAACAAAATTCATTTTTTCCTCATCTAGTCAACTAATAAAACTGACACAATCTTTCTAGAGGACAGTTTGGCAATATGTTTCATAAGCCTTAAAAATATCTGTACTTAATAATTCATTTTCTTTGACTTGTTTCATTTTCTAGGAATTATTAAACGTAAAATTTTATTATAAAATATATAAGATTTTATACAGCATTACTTATAGCATCAAAACAAGTACAAATCCCCTTAATGTCCAAAGGGACTATGTTAAAAACCTATAGAATGAATGGATAGATAAAGAAAATACACACACACACACCCCATGGAGTTTTATTCATGAAGAAGAATGAAATTGTGTCATCTGAGGAAAATGGATGGAATTTGAGAGTGCTGTTAAGCAAAATAAGACAAACCCAGAAAATTAAAGGTCATATGTTTTCTCTCACTGAAGCTAGAGAGAAAAAAAGAAAAAGAAAAGGTGGCAGGAATCTCATGAAAATAGAAGGGAAACCCAGGAAAAGAGAGGAAGGGAAGGTACTGAGAAATAAGATTGACAAATTATATTGTACTGTGCATACACAGAAACATGTAACAACTAATCCTACTATTACGCATAATTATATCAATAAAAAATAAGAGGAAAAAAATATGTAGGAAAAGGATATATAAAGAACTCAAAAAACTTAACACTAAATAAACAAATAACCCAATTAATAAATGGGCTAAAGAACTTAATAGGCACTTCACAGAAGAAATAACAATTAGTCAACAAATATATGAAAACATATTCAACATTTCTAGAAATTAAAGAAATGCAAATTAAAACTATACTGAGTTTTCATTTCACTCCAGTCAAAATGGATAATTATCAAGAATACACCTAACAATAAATGTTGGTGTGGATGTGAGGAAAAAGGTATATTCATACATCGCTGGTAGGACTACAAATTCTTGCAACCACTCTAAAAAGCTGTATGGAGATTCCTCAGAAAATCTGGAATGGAACCACCATTTGACCCCGTTATCCCACTCCTTGGCATATACCCAAAGGACTTAAAATTAGCGTACTATAGTGATACAGTCATATCAATGTTTATAGCAGCTAAATTCACAATAGCTAGGCTATGGAACCAATCTAAGTGCTCTTTAACAGATAAATGGATCAAGAAAATATGATATATATCCACAATAGAATATTACTCAGTCATAAGAGAAGAATGAAATTATGGCATTTGCTAGTAAATGGAGGTAACTGGAGACTATCATGCTAAATGAAAAAAGCCAATCCGAAAAAAATAAAGGCCAAATGTTCTCTCTGATATGTGGATGCTAACACTCAATGGAGACAGGGATAGAATTCAATGGAATAGACAAAGGGGAATGAAGGGAAGGGAAGGGGTATGGAAATAGGAAAGATAGTAGAATGTACTGCACATAAATTTCCTATGTTCACATATGAATACACAACTAGTGAAACTCCACATCACATATAACCACAATAACAGGAAGTTATACTCCATGTATGTATCATATGTCAAAATATACTTCACTGCCATATAACTAAAAAAACAAATACTTTTTTTTTTTTTAAAGTTCCTAATTGCCATAGCTGGAACAATTTGAGAAATAAATTAGGTGAAATAGTTTCTAGTTAGACAAAGAGTGTGAGAAATACCTATAACCCTTTACTGATAAAATAAATTATTGACTAATAAATGGGGATAATAGAAAAAAATGTAGAAAAAATACTTATAGAAAATTAAAAGCACATAATAAATAAGATTTAGAATATTACTTAGTTGTATAATAAAGGTGTTTTTCCCAGAAAATGATAGATTTATATGTACCTTTTCATTAAGACAGTCAATTATATTTTCCACGTAGATTTTCATGCTTTTATAGAATTTATAATTTGCAGCTTGACTTGATGAATTCTCAAGGTTCTCAATTGTACTCTTTGAGCTCTTGACATCTTGTATGTATTTTTCATATTCTCTCTGATGTGAGCGATGAGTATCCTGTAGTAATGTTAATCTAAATAAGTAAAATAAAAATGCTTTATTTTTCCAATCTTTCCTTTTGAAGTAGTACTCTATTGCAAACATTTTCAAAGACAACCAAGGGAATTGATAATCTTATAAATCTGAGTTTATTAGACTTGAAAAGGATATCATTACAGTTACAGAGCTCTCAAAGTGGAAAGAGATGACACTGGTAAGTTTTTAAATTTTAATTTAATTGTAATTTTTTACTTCTAGACATATCTTAACTGTTAATCCTTTCTTTTCCCCCATTTTTTAAAATTGGCGCATTATAGTTGTACAGACACTGCTAGGTTTTTAAAGGTGACGGCTAATCCATAGGCTAGTTTTAGATTAGAAGTTAATGAGTATGCTGGGATTCGTGAGAATTTATAAACTGTGAGATCCAAGAAGAATCAATCATTTTAAATTTGAATCCGAGGAGACCATGTAGAATTATTCTTAGATTAAGTTTGTGATCTTTCTAGGAATATAGATATCTGAGTGAGCTGGCATTAATGTCATTTAAGGACATAATGGTTGGATACAAATTTTCTGTTTTGGATTTGAAATGCTTTTGTTTTGTCATTGGAATTTGTTATTCCTTCAAGCAAATCCCTTCCTGGTTGCATTTCGATATATGCTGCCTATTAAAGTCAAGATAGCCCACATTCTTTTAGCCCTTGGGAATTCATACCCATCAACTGATGTTACATGAAGAAACTGTTAAATACAATTCAATGACTGCTGATCTTCTCATTGTTTATCAGTTACCTGTCATAGATAAATGCCAATGGAGGAAAAAGAAACACATTTGTTTAAAAATATCTGGAATGTATTTTCTAATATTTGACTTTCTGAATACTTTAGAATGAGAGAACTAAAAATGAGAGAATTAAATAAAAAATACAATTTCATAGTATTTGGATTTGAATCAGGATTAAAATATTATTCTATTCCTGCTAACCTGGTCCATAAAAAACACTCTAGTACTTGCTTAAGCCAAACGTGCTCTCCCCAAGGTTTACTATCTTTTCCTTTCAGTCTTTGTTTTATGTAAAGAATAGTGAGAGTTAAAATATAAATCAAGATAATAATGTACAGCAGGCACTGTTAATAAAATATTTTGGTTTTAATCAAGTAGAATATTATCAGTCATAGCAGTGAATTTGTAAGTAGTTACAATGTGAAAAATTTCTAGATATACCAAACAACATAGATAGTGAGCTTTCTCTATTATATTAAAAAATGGGGCAATATATAAATATATATGCACACAAAAAAATAATTAACAATGTGAATGAGAGGACCTACAAAATGGGAACAAGTTTTTGTTAGATACTCTTCTGACAGAATTAATATCCAGAATATATGAAAAACTCAAAAAACTTAACACCAAAAAAGAAAAAAAAATCCAAATAATAAATGGGCAAGTGAACTAAACAGGCACTTCTCAAAAGAAGAAATAAAAATGACCCACAAATATATAAAAAAAATGTTCAATATCATCAGCAATTGAGAAAATGGAAATCAAAACTACATTGAGATTTTTATCTTATTCCAGTCACAATAGCAATTGTGAAGAGTATGAATGATTAATTGATTAATGCTGGAGAATATGTGGAGAAAAAGAACACTTTTACACTGCTGGTGGGATTGTAAATTAGTACAACCATTATGGAAATCAATGTGAAGGTTGCTCAAAAGATTAGGGATAGAACCGCCAGCTGACCCAGGCTCAGTTATTTATTCTAAAGAATTAAAGTCATCATACTACAGTGATACAGGCATACCCATGTTTATAGCAGCACAATTCACAATAGTCAAAGTATGGAACCAGCCTAAATGTACATCAATAGATGGATGAATAAATTAAATGTGGTATATATACATACATATATATATACATACATACACACACACAGTGGAGTTGTATTCATCCATAAAGAGGAAGGTAAATATGTTATTTGCAGAAAAATGGATGAAGACTCGAGAACACTGTGTTAAGTGAAATAAATCAGAAATAATTCAGAAAGTCAAGGGTTATATGTTTTCTTTCATATGTGGAAGCTAGAAAGGAAAAAGGAAAAGAAGGGTGGTCAGGAGAATCTCATGAAAATGGAAGGGAGATCTGTAGAAAAGAGGAAAGGGACCAGGAGGAGAGAGGAGAGGAAAAGGGGAAATACTGGAGAATGATATTAGTCAAATTACATTATTATATTTTGTGATTGTATGAATATGTAATAATGAATCCTTCCATTATGTATAATGCACAGATAAAAATAGGAAAAAAATATACATGTACTTATACAGATACAGATCACTTCTGGAAGGAAACATAAGAAACTGGCAGCAATAGTTCTCCTTTTCTTTGTGTATTCTTTTGTACTGGTTGGTTTTTATTTTTCTTTAAACCATGAAGATGTATTTTCTTTTAAAAATATAGAACCTTGTGAATAAGAAAATTGAATATGACAATAAAGTTAAAGTAACATTTACCACGATTAAATGAAATGGTAATCTAAACCAGTGATTCATTGTCTTTTTTCTGTGCTGTCACTCTTGCAAGACAATTATGAACAACCATTCAGGTCTGGTTTATATACAAGTCTAGAAGCAAGAGCCATTCTAGCTGTTTTCTTCTAAAAAGGAAATTGTATCAGAATGCCATTAAATAATAATAGTTATTTGTGAGACCTTGTCTCTAAATAAAATACAAAAAAGGGTTGGGGATGTGGCTCAGTGGTTAATTGCCCTTGGTTTCAACCCCAGTACCAACCTCCCTGCCTAAAAAAACACTACAAAAAAACAACTCAGAAACATTGATTTAGAATAGGTGTTGGCAAACTTTTTGTGTACAAGACCAGAGAGTAAATATTTTAGTCTCTTTAAAGGCTAGATGACTGCTGTTGCAACTATTTAACTCTGTGTTGTAGACAAAAGTAGCCACCGACAATATGTAAATAAACAAGCATGACTGTGTTCCAAAAAAACTTTACTAATAAAAGTTGGAGAAACTGGTAGTTTGTCAATTCCCTAGAAACCAGAAATAACTTAATATCTAAAAACTTATACATGTACTAATAGTTAATGATATGTCAATTATTTGGACAAATATGATATATTTTAAAACTTAAGGCTCATTTAACAATGTAGAATAATGCTTATAATTATTAAATAAAAAAAACAGAATTTTAGGATTACTGATTTCAACTATGTAATACATATCTGTCAAAAAGACTGAGAATACAAACACAAGTCAAATCAAGTGTATTAGTGCAGTTAACAAATGGTATTTTTGTCCTGTAAATCTATTTGGTATTAATATTTGATAATTAAAAAGAACATAATGCTTTTTCACTGTACTAAGTGTCTAGACAAATACAAATTTTAAAATCAGTATTACTCACCTGTTATTTAGTTGTTTCTTTATAACTTCTAAATTTACTGGTGGAAATGAAATGGAAGCATCAAACTTCTTCACTGTTTGAGATTTACTACTGTGGGAAAGGTCTATATCTCTTCCCTAGAAATAATATGAAAATTTATTTTTAAAAAAACATTTCATTTACTTTACAAATGTTAATAGCTTAAAAGGAGACTGGATACACCAAGGTCCCTTCCAGCTCAAAAATTTTCTGCCTTTGTAACTTTTATTTTTAAAACAAAATGTTTTTTAAATTCTCAGTTTTAAATTTTAAAACTTAAATCTAGAAAAGACAAATTTTAAAAATCAAAAATTTCCCAGAAGTTTAGTTCTCAAAGTTTTTAAAGCTACCTTCATTCATAGTATAGTGTACTCTGAGCAAGTCATGTGGTTTTTAAAGAAGCAACAGTCTCTGGATGAATGCTACATGATGATGGCATGGTAGACCAGAACAATGTGATGGAAGCAGCCAGTTAAATGGAAGTCTGGGGGAAGTTTTCTAGGAAAAACTTTTGTTTCTGGCATTTGTCATTTGGGTTTTCTGTTATTTGCCTAGAAATGCTGCTATGGTTTGGGGACATGTTCCCCAAAGGCCCTGTTAAAGGCTTTGTTACCAGCCTGTGGTATTATTGGGATGTAAAGGAGCTTTTAAAAGATGGGACCTGGTGAAAACAAGAGGGGTCACTGGAGGCATGCCCCTTGAAAGGGATATTGGGACCACACACTTCCTCTTCTCTTTTTCACTTTCTGGCCATCTTGGGCGTCCTCTGCTACCATGTGCTCCCATGATAATGTACTAAGTCTTCATAAGCTCAAAGCAATGGGGTCATCTGGTTGTGAATGGAAACCTTCAAAACTGTGAGCCAAAATAACCTTTTTTCTTTACAAATTGATTATCTCAGTTATTTCTTACAGTAACAGAAGGCTCATACAAATGCATCTTCAGCTAACACATTTTATAATATAGATATCCAGGTATGTACTAGTATCCTCTGGCTAATCACAGCTCATCACCACTATGCTTAAAATGTTCAAAGGGTTCTGAAGAGTCTTTGGTTGAAACTAGGACATGTGAAGAAGTGGACCAGATATTTAGCCAAGTCATTAGCTTAATTATTCTTTATATTTTCCATGAAGCACCATCAGTTCTCATCAATTTTCACCAAGTCTCCCACTCATATCCAACTCAGCTGCAAATCCCCAAACATTCCTGACACTTCAGTTTCAAATCCCTTACATAGTAAATACCTTTCAATAATCCAATTTTAAATATCACCACTTTTAGGGAGACTTTTCCAAACTTCCCTATTTATTAACCATTCCATAAATCTAAACATCCCTTGCTTCTTTGTGCTATTCCCTGCAGTGAGTTCTGGGAGAACCTATAAAGAGTTCATTGTAATCATTTTGTTTAGCGGTCTCTCTTCTTGCAAAGATTGTACATCATTCTAAGTGGCTGTAGTTAGTTAATGGAGACCCTATAAAATATGTTCTCACATTCATGTAAATAATTGACAAAAGATGTGATTAAATTACGGATTTTCAAAGCAGGTATTTATCCTGGATTATGCAGAGGGAGTTCCTTGTATCCTTATCAAAGAGAGGACATATCAAAGGAAGGAGTCCGGGTACATAAGAGAAGGAGATAAAGATGGCCAAGATGTGGCCACAAGCCAAAGAATACCAACTATAACCTAGAAGAGTGAAGGAGTAGATTCTCTTCTAGAGCCTCTGGAAGAAATGTATGGCTACTAACACCTTGATTTTGGACTTCTGTTCTTCAGTATGGTGGGAGGACAAACTTCTGTTATTGTAAACCACCAAATTTGTGGTAATTTGTTGTGACTATCACAGGAAAGTGATATGAGCATGTAGTAAATCTTCAATAAAAAACCAATAAATGCACCTGCATTAGTAATAAAAATGCTAATCAGAGGTGGGAGGGAAAGGGAGTGAGAAGGGAAATCACATGGAAATGGAAGGCGATCCTCAGGGTTATACAAAATGATATATAAGAGGAAAGGAGGGGTAAGACAAGATAATACAAATGGAAGAAATGATTTACAGTAGAAGGGGTAGAGAGAGAAAAGGGGAGGGGAGGGGATGGGAGGGGAGATAGTAGAGAATAGGACAGACAGCAGAATACATCAGACACTAGAAAGGTAATATGTCAATCAATGGAAGGGTAACTGATGTGATACAGCAATCTGTATACGGGGTAAAGTTGGGAGTTCATAACCCACTTGAATCAAACTGTGAAATATGATGTATTAAGAACTGTGTAATGTTTTGAACGACCAACAATAAAAAAAAAATGCTAATCAAATAAATAAGAAATTGCATTTTTGCCAACAATAGTTGCATCTAAAGCTGGCAAAACTGGTGAAACATTCAAATATCAATGCAATTATAAATCGAGTTAAGTTTCTTTAGAGAAAATATACATAAAAACGTTCATCTTTTTTTTTGGGCAACTATCTTAAGGAAATAGTTGAAAACCACACCTTTAAACAAAAGAAATCAAATATTCACCGATTATTATTTACTAATAGGAAAGTAATTCATATTGCAAATAATCTAAAATGTTGACCAAAATAAAGAATGGTTACAATAATTATTCATTGACTCCACTAATCTCACAAAGCTAATAAAATTAGTTAATATTATAACTACATTGAAGAAGGAGAAGACATTTGTATGTTAATCAAAGAAATGAGAATTCAGCAGGGTGTAGAGATCTACACCTGTAATGCTAGGGACAGGAGGCTAAGACAGGAGGCAACAAGTTCAAAGCCAGTCTCAGCAACTGAGTGATATCCTCAGCAACTTAGTGAGAAGCTGTCTCAAATTAAAAAATAAAGATGTTGAGTATGATCTGGCTATGACACCTGTTACCCCATTGATCTCCACGGCTGATTCAGTTGATCTGATTGACAAGGTGGGTGTCCCCTTCCTCCCTGACCACTCCATGTGCATCCCTCCAGAAGCTGTGCACTCAGTGGAAGAGGATGATCTTCCTCGATAGAGGAGGATCGTTCTTCTGTCAAGGGTATAACAAGTAGCTGCGCTCCCCTGCTAGAACCTCCAAACAAGCTCTCAAGGTTCAAATTAAAAAATAAAAAGGAATAGGAACATAGCTCAGTGGTAAAGTATCCCTGTGTTCAATCCTTAGCACCCAAAACAAAACAAATAAATCATAAATTAAAACTGTAGGAAGACTCTAGTTCCCAAAGTATGTGAAGGAATCCCAGAGAATTCAAAGAGGTAAGGTGAAATATTTTAAAATTTCTAGGGAAACAGCAACACTCGGCATCTTTTGAACTTCTAGCTCTAATTAGTTCACAGTTTGCAACATCAGACTATACTACACTCCTTTTGATGAAGTCATATTTGTGGAGCTGGGTTTTAGGAGGATACTATGAAAAAAAGCAAGTATTGAAGATCAGTATGGAAAAGACAGGCAGTGACCAATATGATTTCAAGGTTTGAGAAGACATGCAGTGTCAAACAGGTGCACACAATCTATCAGTAAATAACTGTGGTTATTAAAAAATGAAATAAAAAGATTTTTCTTCAATTTACCTGTATTATTCTTTTCAAATGGGTAAGTTGTTAGCATATAAATCTTGTTAAATTTGGACTTAACTATTTAATAAATGGAATTGTTTGGTAATCTTTTGACTCAGGATCACCATGATAAAAGTACTGAGATACTAAGGGCTTCATAAATGCATCAGTTTTGGAACCTCTGCTGGACAATATAATAGCAATCAATTTGAAGGAAAAAAAAAAGCATATCAAATACAAAGGAATTATGCAACTTTGAGCAGGTGGAGTAAGGACTGTGGCATGTTTCTTCTTGAAGTATGTTTTTAATGATGTTGTTACACTGACTTTTACCAAAAAATAAGGAAAAACATCGGAGCCTATTACAATTGTTAAAAACCATCTGCTAAATCATTTCTTGGGTCAGAAATTCCAAAATTACAATCACAGGTTTAGCTTTAGTTAGCTTTTTAGTATTAAAATAAAATGGAAATCTTATAAAACTTTCTAACTTAAAATAACAAATAACAGCCTCTTAAAGAATTCTTATCAAAAAGATTCAAATATAAAACATTTTATATGTATATTACTATAGTGTTTATAAGCACTTTTGACTTGTTATAATTTTGAACCTTACAGTTACCTAGTCAGGTGTTTAATATCATTATCATTCTCTTTATTATTAATGTAAACAACCTTGAAACTTATAGAAATCAAGTGTTTTACTCAAGTTCTTTCAATATTTACTGAGCACCCATATTAGGTGTTATTGGATACAACTCTGAACAAAATTATTAACAATTCTTGACCTCATGGGGATTATATTCTAGTATTAAGGTCAGAAACAAAATTCAAGACTTTTGATCCCAAGTGAGATTTTATTTTTAAAAAATTTTTGTAGTGTTAGGGATTTAACTCAGACCTTGTGCATTTTAGGCAAGAAATCTCCCACTGAAATAAACCCTCAGTTTTTTTTTTCTTTCCAGTTTTATTTTAAACCTTACTATATATATTGAGTTTAAGTTTTAAACACTTGTGTTATGTAATATACACTGTAAGTTACTAGAAAATTAAGAATTAAAAAATATGGTCCTTTCAAGTGTAAGGTATTTAAAACAGTGGAAAAGGACATGATATCTTTGGTGTAGTGGGCTGCATGGTGAAGATCCATGTCTTATCCACTGGAATGTACAAATATGACCTTATTTGGAATAAGGGTCTTTGTGGTTGTAGCTAAGTGAAGGAACTTGAGACAAAATCATCCTGGATAACCTGGATGACCCCTAAATGTAGACAAGTGTCCTTATAGGAAACAAAAATTATAGACACTGAGAGGGCAAGTGACAGCAAAGGCAGGGGAAGGAGTCATGCAGTCACAACTTAAAAGAAAACCTAGAACAACTAGAAGCTGGAAAAGATAAGGAAGGATTCTCCTATGGGGCATTTAGAAGGAGTACAGCCCTGTCAGCATCTTGATTTCAGATTTCTGGCCTCAATAATGTAAGAGAATAAATTTTCTGTTGTTTTCAGTTACCATGTTTATGGTAATTTGTTACAGTAGGCACAGGAATATAATAATATATGATATAAAAATTATTACCTCTGTGATTTTAACTGCTTTCCTCATTTGTTGCTGTTCCCAAATATCTCGATTTTCATCTTCTTGACTGTCTTCACTTGTTTCTTCATTTCTACTTGCTAAAAAATTAAAAAACAATAACAACAAACAACAAAAAAGTCACACATAAACACTCAGTAATTTTCCAATTCCAGTTGTAATAGTCAACATTTCTGGGGTGTATTATACACTGACTTAGCACTTTATATGTTTATTCTTCATTATAATTTGGGAAGAAAGTGCCACTGTTGCCTTCATTTTACAAATGAGAAAACTTGCAATAGTAGTGGGCATGGTGTTGTTATACAGTTTGTCTGAGGACCACGATGAAGCTTAAATCCAGCAAACTGACTCCAGAATCTGTACTCATGTTACCCAACTGTCCCATCAAGAAAACTTTTTATTAAAGTAGAGAAGATATTAATATGACATCTAAAATCTCTGTAGAATCTTCCATATTTACAAACAAAAATTTTATAGAGGTGAAAACGACAGCTTCCTGTGTTTCAAAATTAAAGATACTGCATAATTTCTTCAACTCGCCAAAAAGTACGTAGGGTACAGGCTTAGTAAACATTATTACACATACCCTTTAATTATAATATTTTGACACAGAAACATCTTTTAGACGCTATAATGTCATGGACCAAATTGATAGTAATTTGATAGTAAATAAAAGCCAACATTAACACTCTTTATCATGTGAAACACTACATTATGTTTTTATGGAAATTTTATCATAAAATATTATAAGGAAAAATGCCTTAAAATTCATAGAATGGTAAATAAATTAAATATATACTTGTTTCTTCAGTCATTCTTTGTCTAAGTGTCTGAGGCTTTGGGGTAAATGGTATTCTCTTCTCATAGTCATCAGGCTCACTCTCAGGATCCTCATCACTATTCCTCTTTGTATCAGGAGTGGTGGAGTTATGTTTTACATCCAAAGAAATATAGTCATCTTGGGCCCTGGCCAATTCACGTTTTCTGCGGGCTGCCTGAATAAAAGCTGCATCAGGGATCCTAACTGAAAGGAAAAAAGAAGAGTACAATGAAAACCACAAACACAAACAGAAATACATATTTCTCACATTAAACAAAGAAAAACAGCACTATGTTCTTAAATTTTTCTCTATTTTTATATATGCATTATTTAAAAAAATGGCTCAAATCTATATCAGTAAAGGAAGAAAATTAATTTTCTAGATTAAATGTAATTTAGAGAAATTAACTCAATTTAGAAGTATCAGGAAATACACTCAAACCATTTCATTTTATCTTTTAAGTCTCTTACTCATCAGGTTTTGATAACTTTTTGATGAGAGCTAGTTATTTTCCCTTTTGAAAACTCTGAATGTTAGGGCAGGGCTATGGAAAAGGATGAGCATCGAGTTCCTGAGTTCAAGAACTGCAGGAGTTAGAAAGGTTGATTTCAGATCTTACTAAATAAGAAAGAAATGACCTCCTCCCCTGTGGACATCAATACAAAGAAGAAACACAACACAATTGGTGCAAAGTCAAACCAGACTAGAGTTCTGGGGTGAGTCCCACCTACATTAATGTAAGAAGTTAAAAAGTATAAAGGAAGTATTTTCAACCTGATTAAATGATAATAACTTTTAATAGAGGCTTATCTTACTTTTTTTGAAACTTCATTAATATGAACTCTTTCAATTCAGAACAGGTTTTTTCATGCATGGTGATCTAAGTTATCTTTATATTCTAGAAAAAAATGTTGGTTTTTTTTTTTTTTTTTTTTTTTTTTGGTATTAGGGATTAAACCCAGGGCTCTTAAATACTGAGCGATATCCTCAGCCCCTTTTGAGACAAGGACTCTAAGTTTCTTGGGGCCTCGTTAAGTTTCTGAGGCTGGCTGGGAGATGTGGCTCATGCCTGTAATCCCAGCAGTTCCAGAGGCTGAAGCTGGAGGATTTCAAGTTCACAGCCAATTCACTATCTCTAAATAAAATACAAAATAAGGCTGGGGATGTGGCTCAGTGGTTGAGTGCCTCTGAGTTCAATCCCCTAGTATCCCCCACCCCACCACAAAAAGGTGCTGAGGCTGGTTTTGAACTTTTTATCCTCCTGCCTCAGCCTCCAGAGATGTTGGGATTATAGGTGTGTGCCACCAAAATGGCAACAGAAATTCTCCTCATTCTAAGCACTTCAGAATATTAGAAATGACAAGTCCCTAAGGCTCAAGTAGAATTTTCTAAATCTTTCCCATAAATTTGATCCAAATTTTTTAGAAAGAAAACATATCACTGGCTTAGAGGTGTACAAATGCTTTTATGTCTGAAATAACAACAAAAATGATAGATTTCAGTAACTACAGATCAGTCTATAATTACAGACCAGACTGACTGACATTAGTCCCAGAGAAAATAAAAAGTGCTTGAATCAATTATGAAACATACAAGGTGATGACTAGAAATCAATAAATATTCACTGAGAATGAGTGACAGAAAATCAAGTGATTGCATTTTTACAGACTAGTATTTGTTTATAGACTGCTATGGGGGAATGATAAAGGTTAGATGTTTCTATATCCTCACAAAGGATTTAACAGGTTGATTCCTTCCTTGTAGACAATGTTATATGAGATAAACCAAATAGCTCACTGAATTCTTTACTAGATGAATAAGTACTAAAAAAGGAAAAATGTTGATTATAAAGTCAACAGGACCTGCTTGAGAACTCTGTACTTTTTGTTTGATTTAATGCTTTTATTGTAATGTGAGTGAAGACAAGATGACATCTCTTTAAAGCTGAGAAGTACTAGCTAATATAATCTAAGGTAGAATTAAGATTCAACGCAGGTTACTTGAGAAATTGCCAACCCTGGCTACACATGAGAATCATCTGGGAAGCTTGATAAACTACTGGTGCTCAGACCCACCTCCCAGAGACTCAGATTCAGTTGATCTGAGATAGGGCTCAGCTGTAGTTTGTTTTTATAGCCTTCTTGTGAAATTTAATATGTAGCCAGAAGATAATACATTAAGGTTTGAATATTGAAGTGTTTGAATATGGAAACAGAAGAACGTGGGTTGCAAGCAATTCACCTACAAATAACTTGGTAGGGTTTAAATAATAAATTACAAGTAATGAAACTCACTGGTAAGATACAAGTACTACATAGAGCCAATTCTCAAGCAATAAAGAAGAAGTTCAAGGAAGAGAAAAATATTCTATCTGTCCTGTTTCTCTATACCCTACATCTATCTCAATGGGTTCCACAAAGCGGATGCTGGGCAGACACAGGATGAATGCATAAAGTTAACATCATGTTGTTAAAGAAAACTCTTTAAATAATTATCACATACACCATTCCACCTGACACACAATTATCTAAGATGCAGAGGTCAACTAGCATCTCCCTTGGGTAAGCAAGCAGGGAATATTTCAAGGCAGATATTCCATTATTGGTTCACTCTCATAGTCTACCAGAACATGAAACAAATGCACTCCTGCCACACAAGTCCTTCAAATCATCACATTCCTCCATCTTCTCTTCTCCAAACAGAACATGCCTTCCACTTCCAAGTGCTCCTCACAAGGTCAGTTTTCAACTTCTCATCAGTATTTCTCAATGGGGCATTGGGGAGAAGGACAATTATTCACTGTGCTGAACTGTCCTACTCTCCATAGGATATTTATCATCTCGTGCCTCTGGGGAACTACAGGATAACAATACCTCAATTACTATGACCATTAAAACCTATTCCACATATTTCTAAAACTTACTTCTCCTTAGGTAGTGAGTGTTCCAATGCTTTATATCCACTACATTATACTTTTTAAAAAAATTTCTTTAGTTGTAGATGGACACAATATCTTTATTTATTTTTTTATTTATTTTTATGTGGTGCTGAGGATCGAACCCAGTCCTCACACATACTAGGCAAGTGCTCCACCATTGAGCTATAATCCCAGCCCCGTCCATTACACTTTTAATCCACCATTTCTATCGCAGCACAGTTCACTATAACAAACACCAGTCACAAATGATCATAAATTTAACTAAATTAAATTTTGCACTAGCCACATTTCAAGAGCTTGACAGCCACATGTAACTAATGGCTACTGTACTGAATAATGAGGGTATAGAATTTTTCCATCATAACAGAAAATTCTGTTTCAAGTGCTGTATCTAGAACCTATATAGAGTTTTAATTGTTTACCAGGCTTCAATTCTTAATTTGGCTTTCTTACTTAATACTTCTCTATCTTGTGGATTTGGATAAGAAAAGGTTGCAAGGCTACAGGGATACTAATTGATAGAGTTAATAAAGAAGCACTTCTCATTTTAAGATTTATTATTATATATGTTTGTATATAAATATTTATTGAATAAAGTTTTAACTAAAATTACAAAAAATTACAAACCTATTGATGAAGATTCTTTTTCTTCCAGAGAGCTAAAGCTGTCAGAAGATGAACTGTGATCATCATTACTTCCTGAGGAATGATGTGCTCCATCTTCTTCATCTGTTGAAAGATCAGCTGTTCTGGGTTCTAACAGGACATTTTTTTTTAATACACACACAAAAAAATAAAAATATGGGAATCAACAATACAGCATTTTAATCCTAGTCCATTTATTTAAAGCAGACATACAAATCTTTCTCTACCTTCCAGTCTTTCTGAAACAACTGAATGATCTAACAAATATACAAAGACTTACCCTACTTGCACTATCTATACATTTAATAGTTCTAAAAGGACACAATGAGAAGAGGGACAGGAACATTGAAGGAAAATAAAAGGACAAAAATTAAAGAAATATTTTGAACAGAAAAACAGTGGTATTAAATAGAAAAAAAACCCAAAAATATCATTTACTATGTGCTAGACACACTGAAACCTGTTTCACATGATTTAATATTCATAATTCTATAAGGTAAATGCTATTATCGGTGAGAGTACTAAGGAATGGAGAAAAGGCAACTCTTATCCTCAATTCTCCCTACAAGTTTAACCATATTTTAGGGTACAAATTAAAAAAAGGTCATCAAAACTTTAGATAAGGAGGTCATAACATTGACTAAGATCATGAAACTGAAAGACATTATGTTAAGTGAAATAAGCCAAACACAAAAAAGACAAATGTGGCAATACCTTACTTATATGTGGAATCTAAACGTTGACTGGAAATCATAGAAGAGTAGAACATAGTAGATATATAATTTTATCTTATTAATTTTGAGGTACTAGGGTTTATACCTAGGAGTACTCTACCACTGAGTTATATTCCAAACCTTTTTTAAAATATGATATAGAGTTTCACTAAATTGTCCAGGCTGGCTTCAAATTTACAATCCTCCTACCTCAGTGTCCCCAGTAACTGGGATTACAGGCATGAGCCACCTTGTTCAGCTCAAAGGATACAAAATTTTAGTTAGAAATATAAGTTTAACAGATCTACTGTACAAGATGGTAATTATAACAATTTGTACTGCAACATACTGTATACTGTACTTGAAACTGCTGAGAAATTTTAAGTGTTCTCACCAGAAAAAAAAAAAAAAGGGATAATGCATAAGTTAATTAGGTCAGTTTAGCCATCCCACAGCACATACATATTTCAAATCATGTTGTATACCATAAGCTTGTATAACTTTTATTTGTAAATAAATAAGTACATACAAAATCACTAAGATCAATTTAATGGGACTAACAATAGTGGGGAGAAAATTCTGGGCCTCCAAACTGTATTCCTTGTTAAACTCTAAACTTAGACCAATACATTTTATGTAAAAATTATAAAGATGCTGGAAACTTTTATTTAAGAACTCAAGCCAGACGGTGGCACACATCTATAATCTCAGCTACTCTGGAGGCTGAGGCAGGAGGATTGCAGGTTCAGGCCAGCCTGGAGAATTCAGAGAGACCCTGTTTCAAAAATAAATACCTAGATAAATTAATTTTTAAAACGTGGGGAGAGGATCATGTAGCTCACTGGTAAAGCTTGCCTATGCACCAGCACCTGAGATAGATCCCTTGTAAGTCAAAGATAAATACAATGTAGTCATTTTGAATTAATACCATTACTTGTACAGTCCAGTGTTATCAATTTCTTTATGATAGTCACATATATTACTTTTAATCTGTTTTTGTAAATAACTGATGACAGAGGAAGACAAGCAAGAGAGAATGTTTCAAACCTTGTCACTTGATTATTTTAATGTGCTGCTTTTAAGTATCCTTTAAAAGAACAAGTGAGCAAGTTTCCAAAAGGTACATACAACTTCTACCTAACAGCATTAGGATTTAACTCCTTTGGGACGATGTGTATTCTTCATAAACATTAATAACTGTATTACAGCTGTAGATGGGGAGGGTCATCTGATAGTGCAAAGAGGAACCACTAAAATGAACAAGATTTCTTTTAAACGTCCCTCCCAAGGAGCGAGGTATGTAAATGCAGGCAGTGGGCTTGCGGTGGAAAGAAAGCGACTCAAAAGTGGCTGCTGGTCAGCAGCAGGTCCTAGGAACCCCTAGAGAAGACCCCGCGACCTCTTCCCGCCCCTCGCGTCACCTCGGGAGCCCACGGCTTCCCCCGCTCTTCACCTTGGCCCCCTGAGCTGTCCGCGCGAGGAGCGACTCCGGGGGCGCGCCGGGAACTCGCCCAGACCCGGCCCCGGCCCCGAGGACCTCGGGCCCGGCGGGGCAGTTCCGCCACCTCCGCGCGGGCTCCTCCAGAGGGCGGGCCTTCCTCCTGCGGACCCGGCGCCGACGGCTCCCCGGGCGCCCCGGATTCAGCTGACGGATCCTCGGCGTCATCGCTGTCGCTGGACTGAGCTTGGCGCTGCCGGAAAGTCCGTTTGGGCCTGTGAGCCATACTCCAGGCCGGATCTCCGCGCGCACGTTCACTTGGGTTTTGGGCGTCCACGGCGGCGCGCACTCCCGCCTCTCCTGCTGCCCCGAGCGCGCGTCCGCGCCGCCAGTCAACTCGCGCTTCGCTCTACGCATGCGTAGTGTGCTTGCGTAGGACTGCGCGACGAACTCGGCAGGCCCAGCCGCAGGGCTCCCCAGGCCAAACCTGGGTGTGCGATCTGTAGACCAGGGATTCCCTGCAGCCTCTGAGGCCTGAGTCCCACGAAGAGCAGCCTCACGTGCTCTCTCTGTGCAGGTCCCATCCAGGAACCAGGCACTGTACTAGCTGTCTTGGACTGCAGTGGGGTCCTTGTCTTTTTCCAGAGAAAGCTCTCTAAACCAAGATTTAAAAACCGGCAAGAGTGCATGTGTTGGACTGGGAGATGCCAGTGAAAGCTAAGCAGCGAACTCTTCACATTAAAAATAAGTTCACAGCAATTATAATGCAGTTGATTCAAATGTATGAATTGTCAAGATCATTGTAATGTCATGTGTAGCTAATAAAAAAAATCCAGAGCTAATTTGACCAAAATAGATAAATAAATAAAATAAAATAAGTACACAGAAGCAAACAGCAAACATGATTGCTTTTAAGTGAAGGGACTTCAAAATAAAGGGTATATGGTTTAAAAAAAAAAAAAAGCATCACTCAGATGAACAAAGATAAACTGTTGAGGCAAATTTGTGATAACAGAGATGATACTTGAGATGTCTTACCAGAAATTGTGTTGTATCCTAGGCTCTTGTAAGAGAGGACTTCAAGCAGTACACAAAACTTAGTAAAAGTATAGCAAAGTTTATTCGAAGGGACAGAAGAAGGGGAAAGACGTTGTTGGGGCAGGCCCCATATGGCTGTGGTTAAGCTCCTTCCCCAAGGCTTCTCGTGTGCTGTTATGGTTTTAGTGTGTAGCCAGGGCTGGGACCTGGCTATGTTGTAGTTAGCAAGGCCAGAAACACTCCAATTCAGTGTATATACTCAAGATCAAACATTAACTTGTGGGCATGAGCCCCCTTATGTAATCTGTGGGCCTTGTGCCTTCTTTGTTTGGCCTGCATATAAAAAGGGCCTATGGAAAAGACTTGGGGGCCAATGGGGACAAATGGGGGTAAAATGAGGTTTAAAGTGGAACTGACTAGGAGCTGGAGCTGAAACTGGAGACTGGAGGCTGTGGCCACCACTGAATAAAGCATGTCTATTGTCCTAAGTACGTCTTGCATCTTCTTTCAACAGGCCTGAACCTTGTTTCCTGGGTCAGAGCCCCTTAAGGACAGAGATTGTTAAACCGAGAGTGGGCCTACCAAGAGGAGACAACTCACTTCTTTGTGAGCTCAATTTATTGGGGTAGGAGAGGGGGTTTCTGGAGAATCTTGTCAAAGCACTACCTCTTAACTTTTGAAGATGGTAGAATTGTACCCAATTTTTAGGAGTCCCTACTGTGCATGTTTCCATCTAAGGGCAACTCTTGGTAATTTCAGCCTCTCAGCTTCCATATTTTTGCTGTGACTGTTCTGATTAAGGACCCTGCCATTCATGCTACCTTTCCCCAACATTGTGTTTCTCCAGCTGCTGCCTCTGTTCAAAAACCTTCCACAGTCATCCAACATTTTGTTATTAGAATAAGAAAGTAAATTACTGTAATGTTTGCTTTAAAATCATATTGCAAATCTGGTGGTTTCCATGTCTTACTTTGAACAAAATCAGAGCACCAAACCCAAGGGCTTGCTTCTGAGGCTTACTGAAGCCAATTCAAAGGAACAGGGTTTTTGCAAAAAGAAAAAGCTTTATTGTAGAGCTAACTATCAAGTAGGTCAGGAAAGAAACTGAGATCTGCCTCTGTATGGGATTGGGGTAGGGGGAGAAGCTGTTTGATGATTGGATTATGAGAAGAGGGAGTTTTAGGTTTCTTTTGCATAGGCTGGCCTCTTATCATGGGCTTGATAGGTCTTAGATGATTTCATTAGTTGACCATACTAAATTTGATAATGAATTACTGAGACTTTGCATGTAATTCAGAAGAAATTTCTACCACCTCTTAAGAGTGCCACCAGCTGGAGTCCAAGCCTCTTACACATGGTCCTTTGGGGGACATTCCATTTTCAAACTTCGGCAGGGATTATGGCCCAAACCCCTAGAAACCACCTGGGACTCATGTGAACAAAGAGATGCGGATTAAGCTGTTCTGTGAAAGGACCTGAGATTCTTCATTTCTAACAAGCTTTTGGGGAAGCCAAAGGCTGTTTCTTGGGGGCCATAAATAACAAGATCTTACAGCCCGTACTAAGAAAAATGATTCACTCTTAAGAAGCTATGTTATGGTTTGGATGTGAGGTGTCCCCCAAAAGCTCATGTGTGAGACAATGCAAGAAGATTCAGAGGAGAAATGTGAGAGTTTTAACCTAACCAGTGATTTAATCCCTGATGGGATTAACTGGGTGGTAACTGGAGGCAGGTAGGGTGTGGATGGAGGAGGTGATTAATTGGGGGCGTGGCTGTGGGGTATATATTTTGTATCTGGCAAGCGGAGATCTTCTCTCTCTCTGCTTCCTGATTGTGATATGAGCTAAGCAGCTCTGTCACACTCTCCTGTCGTGATGTTCTGCCTCAACTCAAGCCCTGAGGAATGGAGCTGGCCTTCTATGGACTAAGAGCTCTGAAATCGTGAGCCCTCAAATAAACTTTTCCTCCCCTAAAATTGTTCTGGTCAGATCTTTTAGTCACAGCAATGAAATAGCTGACTAAAACAAGTTTTAAAAAAGTTTATTATAAAATTGTAATAGCACGTAAATGCCATTATGTACTTCAAAATTTGGAAACTAAGTAGTCCTTAAAAAGGAAAACTAATAGGAACCGATTCACAGTGATTGAGGTTATCTAAGGATGGCAGTTATCCATCGTATCTCCAGAATGGTTCACCACCAGTCTCCAAAATCAATTCAGGTGTTTATCTCAGTTTGAAAGCTGGTCAGTAGGACAGAATGCACTCCCAGTCTTGCTTAAAAAGCAAAAAAAAAACCCAAACAGTTTATTTAAGGATAGTCTACGTGTGATGTTGAAGTTCCAGAAAGCTGTGATTTCTCTTCAAAAGTAACCAAATCTATGAACATGTCCAATGTGAAAACACTAGGCAGAATTCAGTGATTTGGGGGAAAGTGAGCTAGAAACTTAACTTTCTGTTGTAAAATAAACTGATTCCCCAGACAAGGCTCTTCTCTTATTCATCTTGATGTCTCCATTTCTTATCTAGAGCACAGAATGCACTAAGTCAGTGAGAACACAATGAATTAATGCATTAAGTCAATGAGAACACAATGAATTAAATGTTGAGGATGGGGTGAGTCTGAAACATCTGTGTTCAATCACAATAATGAAACTTGAAAACAAACCATTATAACTTGTTAGATGCAAATTTGCTAAAAGACAGGTGAGTGGACTAGAATGTAGCTGAGTGATTCAGCACTTGCCTAGTATGCCCAAGGCCCTGGGTTTGATCCCCAACACAGAAAAAAATAGAGCATGTGTGAGTGAAAGAAGTGATATACTAGATAGATAGAAAACTCACTGCTATTTAAAACATCAACCAAATATTTGTTCTAAGGAAAAGAAGAATTGAGTTTCTCTAGGTGCTTGTATGGGAGAGGATCCAATAGAAAGAAATTATTTAATAAAC